GGGTTCGCACTACGATTTTAGATGGTTCGCTCAACTCGAATAGTTTTCTTAAACTGAACTACTTTCCACATTTCTCCTTAACACATACATTTTTTGAAAACTTAGAGGGTAACCGTTTTCTCTTTCTCTTTAAGACAAGTTAGAAGCAACATACTTTAGATATTTACGCTCACTTTCCCATCTAATGCTCGATAAAGAGGGGGAGGATCTCGATCTCACGCTTGTTTCACACCACAACACCTTTTGACCACAAGACCGAAGACAGGTTATACCAACAGATATCATCCACAACCCTAATTGAATAAACAAAACACACCCTATTCGGGTAAAGATCACTCTAAACAACCACAAATTCCTACGCATGACAAAACACCCCTCACACACAAGCAATCACAAATTCGTACGCATGACAAAACACCCCTCTCACACTCCTACACACCCTATTCGGGTAAAGATCACTCTAAACAACCACAAATTCCTAGGCATGACAATACCCCCCGCACACACACACACCTTTGGGGTGAGAAAAAGATAAGACAAGACAAGACATGACAAAACACCCCACCCCCACTTTCACCATTTCTTTGGGGTGATCCTCACACCTCACACCCCTTTCTAACCTCATTAAGTGACCTTTTTATGCTAATTAGGTCATTATAACACCTGTGTGCATCCTAACGGTCACCCCACCCCCTTTCTCCCACACTTTTATTTCTTAATTATGCTAATTAGGTCATTAAAACACCTGTGTGCTACCATGCGTGACTAATTAGGGTCACCCCCACGATTTATTACCTAGTGAGTCATGACCCGTATTATCCTACTACTAAAGTCTCATTGGAACAGAGCGTACAGGTTCTTCCGACTTAAGTCTTAGCCTCATTTCATAACTATGTTGGATAAACATAAGTAATTCAATCAATAAGTAATTTATCTTATTATGCTGTCATAACTATCTATTTCATTTTCTTTACATAATTTTTTTAAAGTTTGTTCTGCTTTTCAATTGTTTAATATTGTTTGTTTGTTTTATATTCAATAATCCTTTCAATGGTTCACTGTCAATGTTCAATTTGTTCAATGATTCACTATCAATGTTTAATATGTTCTATGGTTCAGTTTTTAAATAAATTCAATTCTACAATTTCTTTTATCGTATCCTTAGAAATCACTTTTATTCCCAATTTTTCCAAAACTTACATAGTTGTTGGGTACAACAAAAAACAAGGAAGAACGCTATAGTCGAGTACCTCGACTATCAGATACCCGTTGCTCAGCTAAATAGAGATATGCAAGTAGCAAAGCGAGAATAAAATGCGCCACCTACCGGCGGTATACAGATTTAAGCGTTATGGGCGTTAGAGTGGACGTGGCAGTTACCAGCAAAGTCAGATAAAATAAAAATTTAAGGGATAAAGAAAAATATATAATTCATTAACTGCGACTTGACAACGGTCTCGAAAAACCTACGTCTGTCCTGCTTCGGTCCCCTGGTGTTCAGCAGGAACCTGCAGAGCGATCCTGTGGTCTCACTTGCCTTTTTATTTACGTACTTTAAAAGTACGGTAGGAGAGGCCGGTGTCCAGCATGACTCCCTGGTACCTTAAGGCACGCTAAGATGATGTCGTTGTTCCTCCGATCTGGATATGCGCCGACTCCACTGCTCTTCTGCTTGATATCAGCACCGCTTCTGTTTTGTGTGAGGACAGCTCTAAGCCCTCCACTGAGAGCCATTGCTCGAATTGCGCAGTTTGCAGCTGTTTCTACGGCAGCAACTTTCTTGGCCACCACAACCAGCGCGACATCATCTGCAAAGCCAACTATATTGGTGCTGCTCGGCAGTGGGAGCTTCAGAGCTCCGTCATACATCGTGTTCCAAGAGGCCCAGTACCGAGCCCAGAGGAACACTGGCTATCACCTCGTAAGTCCTGGGGCCCACAGAGGTTTCTAGGACCAGCTCCCTTTTGCTGATGCAGCTATGCACTACATTCAACAGGAATGTTGAAGGACCGTAATGCCTCCAGTGTCCTCCCCCAATCGGCTGAGTTGAATGCGTTCCGTATGTTCAGCGTGACCACTAGACAATACTTCTTCGTCCCACCCTTCCATCTGGTACCAGCTCTGGCTTTAGCAGCAATGTTGGTGACCCTCTCTTCGCGTCCAGTGTCGATTTCCCTTTCCGGAAACCGTATTGGTTGGAAGAGAGTCCTCCGGTAACCTCCACAGCAGCGTTAAGCCTTGTTGCTCTGACCCTTTCGAAGACCTTGCCTGTAGGTCTATAAGAAGAGGCTTCACCCGCTGGTTTCCCTGGCTTTGACAGGAGCAGGAGTTTTTGGCGCTTCCACCAGTCGGGAAAGTTCCCTTCCAGCAGGCACGTATTGTAGAGCTCTGCTACCGCATCCGGATGGACGGATAGCGGGGTCTTCACTGCACTGTTCGGGATTAAATCCGGTCCAGGTGCCTTCCTGTTCTTCAAGTTTCTTGCCACAGATAATATATCCGTCTCCGTGACCGGACATATCGGGCTGCCAACTTGTCGCGTCCATCGGGGGATGGAATGGGGTCGACCTTCTGGAAACAGCACTTGGACTATACTTTCCAGAACCACCGGGTCAGTAGGCGACCTATTGCCGGCATTCACACGTTTGACCACCGTCTTATAGGCTCTTCCCCATGGGTCGTTTTCAAGCTCGTCACAGAGCTTGAGGTAGCTGCACGATTTCGACTTAGCAGAAATTTGTTCGTTGCTGATAGCTGCATTGACCTAAATAAATAGGTAGCTGATATCTTGGTCTGCGCACATCTGCATATCATAAACGGGTCATAAATCATATGCATCCAGCCGACGGGCGTGTCTTCGCACTATTTGGTAGATGAAATTGCTTATTTAAGCCTGCAATCTGATAATAAACCATTTTGTCCATTTGTATCTAGACTAGACCTAAGTAAATATCAGTAGTATGGAAACGCGGGTTCTGGGACAAGTACCATATTAATGGGTCATAACCATGTCATAAAATGGATTCAAGCAAGAGCTACCCGAAGCTATAAAAGGTCATAAAAAATATAATTAGGAAAGCATTTATTTATTTGCGAACCATACACCCAATGTCATATCTGTTAGCAACAATACAAATAGTGAGAATGCAATGGGTTGCAAATCCACAGCGAAGGTGCAAAAGTAAACACAAACAATAAAAATCCTTGGAAGATTGCAAACCCCAAATTTTAAATTTAAATGAAACAACAGCCTCAAAACTAATACAAGGGCTAGTCATAAATTTCTCGCCAGCACTAACAATATTTAAAGAGCTGTTCGCTGCTTGATAACCCAGGCAGTACACCAGAAGACACTACAGGAGAAGGATGAGTGAATTCCCTAGCGACATCGCTGAAATGCGCGCTCGCCTGAGTGAGCAAAGGCGCGAGTGGGCGCAAAAGGAGAGCCCTACCCGACCGAAGAATGGGCACGCCAACAGGCGGAAGCGCTGCAGGATGAATCAGAGCAACAATATTGGGAGGAGCTCCCCCTAATAGACGCGCTGAGGACCACTGCGTTCCAACTCCGGGGGGGTTCTCGCGAATCGTCCGGTAAACCAGGATAGGATCCTCGCGCTGGTAGATCGCTAGGAGCAAAACATGCTTAATTATGAAGCATGGATGGAGACCCACCAGAGAATGAAGGAAGAGGCGGACTGGTATAACGCCGTGTACCAGGGCCTGTTCCGACACCAAATGTTCCCAAACTTTCCCGTCACCAGGCGGATGAGCATCCGTCCAGGTCTGGCCTTATTCCCGACCGAGGAGCGGTCCGGGGCCTGACGGGATAACTCCAAAATCTGCTAAGGAGGTGCCGTCAGGCATTATGCTACGCATAATGAACCCAATTCTATGGTGCGGTAAATTACCTAGCTTTATTTAACTGGCCAGAACCATCTTCTTTGCGAAGACGGGGATGGCAATTCCTCCGCAAGACTTTCGTCCATTATCGGTGCCATCAGTCTTGTTAAGACAGCTAAATGCAATATTAGCAATCCGGTTGACCTCATCAGTTGATTGCGACCCTCGTCAGCGGGGCTTCTTACCTACAGACGGATGCGTCGATAGTCGACTTAGAACTGACGAGTAGCCATAAAAGCTTTAGATCTTGCTACATAGGTAGTCTGGATGTAAGCAAAGCATATGACTCTTTGTCTTATGCATCTATTTATAACACCCTTAAAGCGTATTGCGCATCATACGAAGCTCGTACGAGGTCTCTGCGGAGAAGGTTGGTGCTCAGAGGAATTCGTCCCTGCGAGAGGAGTGAAGCAGGGTGACCCTTTGTCTCCGGTCATCGACCGGTTATTTAGGGCCTTTCCCAACGAAATTGGTACCAAGGTCGGAAATGTCGTGACAAACGCGGCCGCGCTTGTAGACGATTGGGTCCTTTTTGCGGAAACTCGAATGGGGCTTCAATTATTGCTTGACAATTATTGCTTGACAAGACTGTTACCTATCTAACTACTCTTGGTCTCACCCTTAATGCCGACAAGTGTTTCACTATCGGTATGCGGGTCAGCCGAAACAGAAGTGTACTGTGTTAGATCCACATACCTTCCGAGTAGGCTTGAACGGGTGTCCGGCATTGAAGCGTACTAACGAGTGAAAGTGTGTGTGGGAGTGTGGGACTCGGGACTCCATAAATAAGATGACTCCGATGCTTCGCCTAAAACGATTGAGCAACATAAATACATGCTGTACGAAAAGGTGTCTTCCTGGCCAGAAATGAGCGCCACACTCACCCAAGTTTTTGGAAACAGAATGTCAAACCAGGAAATTGCGAAACAACTGCAAAAACGCACAATTGGGAAGTCCGAGACCTTGATGCAGTATTTCATCACAATGCGCAATATCGCCCAGCAAGGCAACTTTGATGAAGTAGACGTCGTGAAGTACATCGTCGATGGACTAGAGGACCACAGTGGACGCGCTGCTCCACTCTACTATTGTATCTGGAGTCCAATCGTAAAGCCGTCACCATGATCCCTCGCCCAGGAGCCGTAATTCCGAAAGACACTAGATGCTACAACTGCCGACAAATGGGGCACACCGCCAAAGATTGCAAGAAGCCGAAAAGACCGGACAACGGATGCTTCATCTGTTTCGAAGTGGGCCATATGCACCGTCAGTGTCCCAAGCGCACCGTGGGCTTTACCTTGCCAGAAGCTGAAGAAACCATGGATGAAAAGCCGTTTATTCAGTTAGTAAGTTTAAGATTAAGTAGTTTAGCAGGATGCACCGATATTAAAGATGTTTTCGCTTTGTTAGATACCGGAAGCCCAATAAGCTTTTTGGGAAAGTCATACTATCCATATTTAAATGAAGATCATCAGCTAAAGAAAAGTCACTTTCGCGGAATTGGTGGCACATCAATACCCACGTACGGAAAAGTACCCTGTTCAATTTTGTTCGAGAAAAAGTATCACGATTTAGAAGTATACGTTATTCCCGATCTCATCTTACCTACAGCGCTTTTCCTTGGCAGAAACGACCTTAAATTACTCAATATTAAACTTTTTGAGAAAAGAAATCATGAAAGAAATGAAACAAATTTAATTTCAATAAATAATCGTATTGTTTTCGTTAATGAATCATTCTGTGCATCCTTGCTAAGCGATATAAATAATATATAAATTTTAGATAAAACGCAACCCTTTAAACTAAGTATTGATTCTGTAAACCCGAATGCACCCTTGGTTCCTGATGATTCTCTCGCGGATTGGCTTTCTGATATGAAAAGCATTTGTGGAGCTATGTCTATTGACCTTGATAACGTAGATATAGGCCGCGATTTTGGTGTTTCTTCAGCTGAGATGTAGTATTGTAGTAGTAGTATCATAAAGCATTACTCGGATAATATAACTAACGCGTACGGGTCGCCTAAATGTTTAATGAGCATACGATTAACTGATTCTACACCGTTTCATAGTGCACCGAGAAGATTATCATACTTAGAGAGAGACGTTGTTAATAAAACAGTTGCCGAGTTTTTAGCCAGTAATATTGTTAGACCTAGTCAGTCCCCTTATGCATCTCTCATAGTCCTTGTCAAGAAAAAGAATGGAGAAATCCGCATGTGCATCGATTACCGAGCGTTAAATAAATTAACAATTAGAGATAACTTTCCGTCCCCATTGATCGAAGATTGCTTAGAATATCTCGAAAGTAAAATGGTTTTTTCAGTTGTAGATTTAAAGAGTGGATTCCACCAAATCGGTATGGACCCCGAGTCCGTGAAATACACCGCATGACGGACACTATGAATACTTGCGTATGCCTTTCGGCCTAAAAAATGGCCCTGCCGTTTTTCAACGATTTATTTCCAATGTACTCCATGAAATGATACGTAATCGTCAGGCTTATGTTTATATGGATGACATCATCCTGGCGACTTGTACGGTAGAAGAACATCTTCTTTTACTTTCCAAATTACTAGACCGTCTTAATGAAAACCGTCTTGAAATGAATTACAAGAAAAGTGTATTCCTAAAGAACCGCATTGATTATTTAGGATACAATGTCTGTACGAATGGTATTCTTCCAAACGAGACACACCTAAAGGCCTTTCGTGAATACCCTGAACCTCTGAATTGTAAGTCCCTTCATTCTTGTTTAGGCTTATTCTCATACTTCCGTAAGTTTGTTCCGTCATTTTCACGTATTGCTAAACCGTTGTCTGATCTGCTTAAAAATGGAGGTCCGTTCCCGATGGGAAAACTGGAAATGGAAGCTTTTACTAGCTTAAAGAAAGCATTGTCAAGTCCGCCCGTTCCTTCCTTATTGAACCCTCATAGCGAAACCGAACTGCATACCGATGTGAGCTCCCACGGGTTTGGAGCTGTGCTGATGCAGCGCCAAGATGATGGCAAGTTACATCCGGTCTTTTTCTATTCCCGTAAAGCGACTGCCGCCGAATCTCGTTATTATAGTTTTGAGCTTGAGACCCTTGCTATAATATTTTCTCTCCGTCGTTTCCGTGTGTATTTAGAACACAAGCCGTTCCGTATCGTTACCGATTGTAATTCTCTTGTTCAGACGTTAAGTAAGAAACCCATAAATCCCCGTATTGCACGATGGTCCTTAGAATTGGAAAATTATAACTACTCTATTGTACATAGACCCGGTTCTAGTATGACGCACGTTGATGCCTTGAGTCGACAAACCGAATTGTTAGATACCGTGATAGATGTAATTTTCGATCCGTGTGTGCTTCCGACTAAGCCGAAATCCCTTCATGATAGTGTTTTAGAACCGATATACCCGTACGATCCTTTGAGTCCGATAGATCCGTGTGAATCCGTTAGCCGTATGAAACCGATAGATCCGTGTGAATCCGTTAGCCGTATGAATCCGATAGATCCGTGTGAATCCGTTAGCCGTATGAATCCGGTAGATCCGAGTAAGACCGTTAGATCCTTGAGCCCGTACGATAATGAAAAACCGTTAGGTCTGTGTGACTCCGTAAACCAGTTAGATCTCGTTGGTCGTCTCGCGATAGCTATTCCCGAAAGTTCCGTAAATCTGTGTGAAGCGTATAAACCGTCTCTTCCGTGCGATGTAAATATGGATACCGTAGTAAATGTAGTTGGAGCTACCCCTGGGGATATAGATTTACTCTTACAGACCGAGCAGATTAGGGATCCGGAAATTGTCAAACTCCGTGATAAATTAGAAAGAGAAGCCGTTGGTTGTTTTGAACTTATTGATGGAATAATTTGTAGAAAGAATGATGCCGGAAGGTTATGTTTGTATGCTCCAACTCAAATACAAGAACAGTTGATCAGATTATGTCATGAAAAGTTGGGTCATCTTGGTGTTGATAAGTGTGTTGATGACCTGAAAGATAAGTATTGGTTTCCGTTGTTGAGAAGCAAAGTTGAATCCTTTATCCGCAATTGTTTGCCGTTATATCCTGCATTCAGTACCTAAAAGTGTCCATGACCGTACCCTTCATAGCATTCCGAAAGCCCCAATTCCGTTTGATACCGTTCACATTGACCATTTGGGTCCGTTGCCGTGCATCAATTCGAAATGAAAACACCTGTTAGTTGCTATCGATGCTTTTACCAAGTTCGTGAAATTGTACCCGGTTAATTCTACCAGTACCAAAGAAGTTAATTCCAGTCTTTTGAAATATTTTGAGTATTATAGCCGACCACGACAAATTATTTCGGATCGTGGTACTTGTTTTACATCATTTGAGTTTTCTAGTTTCCTAAGTGAGCGAAATATAGAGCACATTAAAGTTGCTACCGCTGCCCCCCAGGCGAATGGTCAGGTGGAACGCATAAACCGAGTGTTAACCCCGATGTTAGGTAAATTATCCGAACCGTTGAATCAATCCGATTGGTGCAAGTTGGTCAACCGAGTTGAATTTGCAATCATAAATTCCGTTCAGAAGAGTACCGGAAAGACTCCTAGTATTTTGCTTTTTGGTAGCAACCAACGGGGACCTATTGTAGACGAACTATCCGAGTATCTTGAGGAGAAGTTTAGCCTTTCTAACCCACGTGATGTTACCTCCGAAAGGATACAAGCTAGTGAAAATATTAAACGGTCACAAGAGCAAAATGAGTTTCGATATGCTTTAAAACATAAGGCACCCCCCCGTTATAAGGTTAACGATTTTGTAGCTATCCGAAATGTTGATGTTACTCCAGGATCTTGTAAGAAATTCTCGCCGAAATATCGTGGTCCTTTTAAAATCAACCGTGTATTCCCGAATGATAGATATGAAGTCACCGACATAGAAGAGTGCCAGCTCACCCAACTTCTCTACAAGGGAATTCTTGAAGCCGCCAGACTTAAACCTTGGGTGCAAACGTGTACGAAACCCGTAATTCTTATAGTTGACTATGTAGTTAGTAAATATGTAAAGATCGAGGTCGATCTAGAGTCAGGATTGGCCGAATGTAAGCTGTGTAATTCCAGTGCATAATGTTATTTAGTATATTTAGTGCAATATTATTGATATTGTAAATAATAATGAACGGGCACACTACTAATGAGCAACGCCGATCAAGAAGAACAAAAAGCGCAACCAAATTTAAAATTTTTAAATAAAAACCGATAAGTTTATAGTTGAATAAAAAATTACAAACTAAAACCCTAAAAATGGAGTCATTCAGTGCTTGTAATTTGTGCACCAAAAACGTGGAGATGAGCGAGTTTGAAGCTCATTATGCTCAGTGCTCAAAGCCTCGGAATGCCTTCGAGGTTTTAATGTGTAAATAAAAAATAAGGTGTGGCTTATGCTCTACCTTAGTTCACATTTATGAATTTGACGAGCACTTTGAAAATTGTGACGGACCTAAAAATGCATTCAATATTTTAATGAACAACATCATCAAATGCTCTCAAACGGATGAGAACTGATGAGGATAAGGATATAATACTCAACCAAGAAAAAAAAGCTAAGATTAGCGAAAATAAAAAGGATTTAAAATTAAAATATTGTGCCTCACCTATGGTGAGAAATATCTTGCATCAAGGAACGTCAACACATATTGACCGATGAGTATAAAAATGCATCAGCCAGAGAAGTCCAAAATAATGAAAATATAATTCTTCTGAACTCACAAAGTGTTTTTCCTGTGAAATCATATCGAATCAATAGTACATTCCAAAACATTATTGATTTAAAAGCTTTTTATCAGCATTGTCAAAAAAATATTATTGAAATTGTAAAGCACTGCATGATAGAATATAGAGCCATTTATTTCAACCTAAGAGTTTATGGTACCTATATTAAACAAACAGACGAAGGAGTTACTGTTGAAACAACAAAACATTTTTGGACTGCATATAAATTTGTATACCAAAATGAAAACATTATCGACGAACTAAATATGGCAGTAGATAGTTTATTAGCATCGAGCAGTGAGTTTCAAGAAAAAAAACTCTGGTTGGACAATACAAAATTTCAATTATTTTAAAATTACTATAATCAAGCTCGAAAACATTCCTGCTAGCGGATACATACAGGCTCCGAAGAGTATAAGAGCCCGAAATGCACTTATAATCGTACAGAAAACTGACGTTTTTTGTTTTTTGTCTTGAGTGTGCTACCTTTACAACAGCAAAGCAAAAAAAGTATTCACGAGAGAAAATGACAAAATAATTGTATATGACGGAATTAGATTGAATTTTTAAGGAATCAAGCTTTCAATCACGAATAAAAAGATTATTCATTTTGAGAAAAATAATAAAAATTTTAGTATAAATATTTATGAAAAAAATGCTGATGGTGACAAAATTAACGGTCCAACGTTCCGAACTAAATGTATTCGAACTAAACACATAAATATATTGGGAATCAATAATGTAAGCCAAGAAAGTATGCATTA